ATGGATAAAAAATGTTCAACATAATACTAGCAAATTGAATCTGACAGAATATAAAAAAACAGTATATACCAAGACAGAGTTGAGGTTATCTTGGGAATACAAGATTGAGTCAAAATTCAAATATCAATTAATGTAATTCACTGCATTGAGAAATAAAAATAGAAAAATCATGTCATAAAATCAGTGGATACAGAAAAAAAAGTATTGACAGAATTCAGAACTCATTTTTCTTCAAAACCCCTAGCAAGCTTAGGAAGAGAAGGGAATTTCCTCAATTTGACAAAGGATATGTAAGAAAGGCTCCAGCTGAAGTCATGTTACATGGTGTTTGAGTGGATATTTTACCCTAAGATCAGGAAAAGGGCAAGGGTGTCTGCTTCTGTTACTTCTTTAGGTAGTTTTTCTATAATACACCGTATGTTCTGTGTTCTTAATAACCACTGTGCTACTAAAACCCCCAGGATGTATAGAGGAAAGGATTACTTTATGGGGAAAAGGGTTAGGACACAACATCCACAAACTTGCAGTGAGAAATGAAAAGATAGGAAACTAGTAAAAACCACAACGAAGTGGTTGAGGAATATAGAAATACTGTAAGTTTGCTTGTAAAAATGGGCCTTCATAGAGTTATAGTTTGTTATTTGTGAAGTGGTTAGAAGGAGGGTTATTTGAAATTAGACAGAAAATTATAAGACCTGATATGAGTGAGTGTAGCTTATAACATGTGACCTGAAGTAGCTGGTCTGTTTCTGAGATGTGTACATGTATGTGTTGTGTGTTTTTCTATGTAAATTGGCTTAACTGGGTACAGTTTCTTGTTCACCTGGTGTTTTGTGTCTTCATATATAAATAAAATTCGCATTGTGCTCAACTTGTTCCCTTTTGCTCTGGAACAAATGCAAAAGACTTGAACAGTTTTCAGAACATATGTGAATTTACAAATAAGCCCATGAAAAGGTACTTAACATCTTTAGTCATCAGGGAAATGTAAATTAAAACCACAATGAGGTATTACTTTACACTCGGTAAAATGACTAAAATGAAAAAGACTGACAGTACAAAGTTTAAGGACATGGAGTAACCAGAACTTTCATACATTGCTGATGGGAGTGTAAAATTGTACTATCATTTTGAGAAACAGTTTGGCAGTTCTTAAGTAAACATATACTTAACTGACTCTATGACCCAGCATTTTTGTTTCCAGCTGTGTACCCAAGAAAGATGAAAACATGTCTATAAAGAGATTTATATGTTAGTATTCATAGCAGCTTTTAATAGCTCATATCTGAAAACAATCCCAGTGTCTATGAACAAGTTTTTGGGTAAGCAGATTGTGGCATATTCATTCAATGGCAGACTACTCAGCAACAAAAAACTAAACTGGTGGATACCTGCAATAGCATGAGTGAATCTCATCACCTTGAGGGGTGATGGTAATGTTCTGTACCCTGTTTGGGCTGACAATGTCAAACTCACCTAACTGTATTCTTAAAATTTCTGCATTTCATTATATGTGGGTCATACTTGAATAAATTTGACTTATTAAAAAAAGTTTATTGAGAGAGGTGAAGAAAAGTTATGTCCTCATATCGTGCTTTTCACTTTGCTCTGCTGTCTTAATAGAATACTTTGAGCTTACAGTATTACTAATAGGGTGAAAGAGGTTCCTCCCCTCCACCCCCAGCTTGTAAATAATTTTAGTTTAGTGTTTTCCTGTTATCTTTAAATGTCCGGACACATTCTAGACAGTCTGGATTAATATTTAATTAAAGGACATAGGTGATAATATTTAAGTTAACCTTTTAAATTTTATGAAAATGAAATGGCTTTAGTTTATCAGGCATCTTACTTGGAAAATTAATGAAAACAAGTAATCATGGTATCAAACTCACCACCTTTATTTGCTAGAATTTGTTTTGACTGAAAGATGCATATTTATATGTGACTGCTGATTAAAAATGTGATCAATCGAGGGTCTGTTTGTAAGTTGATTGTGAAATTAAAAAAATATATATTTCCCACTGACACCCCAAACTAATCATGGAAAGGAGTATTTTATGAGTAGAAGCTGAGGGTCGTTGACTCAGACATCCATCATTTTCTTTGATGTACAATTGTTTCAACTACTTTGGCTGTCTAAGCAAATCTCTCCTTTTTCTATTACTGTTCTCTCCTGTTTCCTCTGGGTTCACATCATTAAGGAACATTCTCTGTTGAAGACAGAGAGGGCCAGGGAGAACATTCTCCTAGACAGGGAGAACATTCTCTATTGAAGTGTAGGTATATAAAATGTTTTATACTATCTTAATATGCCTCTCTTTTGCTTTGAGGACTAGCTATTAATATTTGTAATTGTTAGTTGTTAGTTCTAGGTTTAAATGTTTGTTGAGCTTAGGAACCTGCAAAGCAGTGAAAATATGAGAAAAGTAAAACTTTAGCACTTTCTAGTTACAGGAGTCATTGAGATTAGAGCCTAGGCTGAAGTAAAAGCCATGCCCCAAATGATATTTTTCTTCAGACTTCTCAAACCACTGTTTTGAGAGATCTTAACTCCTTTGTTCATAATCAGCTTATATATAATTTTTAGAAATTCAAATAGTACTTACATTAAATAAGTAAAAAATTCAAACTGCTTAAAAAGAATATTTTTTGAAATAATGAATGTTACATTTTCATCTGGTTATTCGTAACCAAACTTTAGATAGTCAGTAGCATAGAGATTTATACAATATCTGAAAATCCATCTTACACTTTATTTTTTGACATATAAAAATTATATATAATTATTTATATTACAATATGATGTTTTGAAATTCAAAAGCCATTTTAAATTTGTAGATTAATTATACCAAAGTTAAAATTTTCTAGAAATAGTTGTATTCTATATTTATAAAAGATTGGAACTTACCTCTTTTTTGGGTGGTAGGGAAGAATACAGCTTCTCATGTTGTTGCCCAGGCTGGAGTACAATGGTAAGATCATAGCACATGTAGCCTCCCAACTCCTGGGTTCAAGTGATCCTCCTGCCTCAGTCTCCCTTGTAATAGGACCACAGATGTACACCACCATGTCCAGCTTACTTTTGAAAAAAAATCTTATATAGACAGGGTCTTCTTGTGTTGCCAGTGCTGTTCTTGAATCCTGGTCTCAAATGATCCTCCTGCGTCAGTCTCTCAAAGTGCTGAGATTACAGGCATGAGCCACTGTGCCCAGCTGAAAACATCTCTTTTTTAATTCAGTGAACTTTTATATTTTAGAGATAGATTTATAGACCTGAAATAAAAAATAGTTGGGTATATATAAAATAACCATCATAATGCTAATCCACTTGAACATAATAGGATAGATGTATATGCAGTATGTACAAGTAAGTCCCAGTGTAGTACAGGCAAAGCAAATACAGCTGATTGGAAAGTTGATCAAGGCAGTGACCCTCTCTCTCTCTCTTCAGGCTATGTCATTTGTCTCCCCTCCCATTTTTCAGTTCTGTCTTCCCCTCCTTATATTTTCCCTTTACCATTTTATAATTTATGAAATTTTATATTTTCTCATCTTCTATGGCTATGTGCCTGTGTCTGAAAACATCCACCTCAACTCTTATGGATCGCTAGATTAAGAGCATCACAATTTGAATTTGATTGGGTCAGCTTGGATTAGATGTTCACTTTCCCTCCAGGCCGCTACCAGTGGGTAGTTATATAGCTAATCAGTGTTTCATCAGCAGAAACTATGGGATTAGATTCTAAGAGAATAAGGAGGCCTGAGCAGTGCAGGCAGAGGAAATCTGTCCTCTTGATTATTTGCACTTTAGAAATCTATTTTAGGAAATATTGATAAGTGGCTTGGTGCCCTCTCTTTTGGTAGGAAGGTACCTGCTTTCTTTTCATTCTCTGTATCAAAGCTTTATGACATTGATATCAGAATGTTGTTTATAAATACTACAACTTCAGTGAGCTAAATAAATGCTAGAATTTGCTGTTACTTATTAGCTCTGTTTCTCAGTAAAGGATATCTATATCTAGAAAATAACTTTGTAAAATGGTGAAATATAATGAGTATCTTAAATATTTGAAAGTGATATTGTACAGTGGTTAAGAGCTTTGTGACAGATGTGTTAAATTCTAGTACCTCTACTGCTTGCAATCTGTATGACACTCTAGGCTTCAGCCTTTCCCCAAGCTTTAGGTTTTTTCTTCTGTAAAGTAGGAATAATAATGCTGCCTCCAGGGTTGTTGTGAGGATTAAATTGGATAATCCATATAAAAAGTCTTAGCACAGTGTCCATCATATACTAAGTGTTCAGTGTTAATCTTTCTTTTTTCAGTGAAGGGTACATTAGTTATCTCATTTATGTATCTGCTTATTTGTCCAAATGATCATTGCCGAAGCTGCCTAAAAGATTTAGTAAAATTATAGGATATAAATACAGATATTTCACTTTAAAGGCTCCTTTTTAACAGTTTTTTTGAGATCTAATTGATTTGTAATACACTCTATATATTCAAAGTGTCCACTTTCGGAAGTTTATGCTGCAATTTATATATTCATTTACCTATTGATATTTAACTTCTTTCCTGTTTTGGGCTGTTACAAATAAAACTGTTGTGAACATTTAGGTACTAGTATTTGTATGCTTTCATTTCTCCTAGGTGAATATCTAGTTGTGGGATGACTAGGTAGCTTTGTGTTTACCCTTCTCGGAAACGACCAAACTGTTTTCCAAAGTGGTGGTACCATTTTACATTTCCATCAACCGTGTATGAGTTTCATTCTGCATCTTTGCCAGCAATTTGTTCAGTCTGTTCAAAAGCTATTTTTATAATTATTACCCTTTAATGCCTTTTTCCATGTTGTTTTTAAGTTAATTTAAAAAGTATTTAGAGTTATTATAATAATAGAGATGGTTTAAGAAAAATATTGAAAAAATATTTCTCCCTTAAGAAGCTAATTTTATAATGTGTGTGCCTCTTTTATATGTGTATTTTTTTTTCCTTTGATAGAGTTTTCCTGAAAAGGACCTTCTGCACTGTCCATCTAAGGATGTAATTGAAGCTCATTTTATGTCCTGTATGAAAGAAGCCGATGCTTTAAAGCATAAAAGTCAAGTAATCAATGAAATGCAGAAGAAAGATCACAAGCAGCTCTGGATGGGATTACAAAATGGTAATTATAGCAGGGCTTAATTTTAGAATATCACATTATAAAATTTGATACAACCTAACCCTTGAGTCACTGATACATTTTAGAATTAGTGGCACAAATTTAAATTTTAGTCTCTTCGCCCAGATTTTCACAGAAGCTGCTTTTAGTCATCCCTTACATCATTCCCATCCAGTGACCCCTGTTCATGGATTCCCTAGCCACAGTCCCTGTATATAACATATGGTGTAGAAACTCCCTGACCACAGTCCCTGTATATAACATATGGTGTAGAAACTTTGTATTTAGCTTCTGAAGAAAGTACCATTAATCCCTGGGTATGGTCCTTATTTCTCAGCCGTGACCCTTCTGGCTGATAGCCATATGTATATACCAAGATACCTCCACTTGGGCAGGGATTAAACACCAGCTTCTGCTTTCTCAAGACCGTAGATGTGCTTTGTGTTTCTGTTTTCTTTCTCTTTGCTGTGGTTTAGAAAATACCCCCAAGGAAAAAGCTGAGGAGAACATAGTGCTCATCTCTGTATTCGCCGTGTTTTAGAGATCATGGCTGCTTAATCTTGCCTGCATTAGTTGCCCTTCAGCGCTGTTAGACAGTTTTATACACAGATAGTCCTTGCTTTACATGGTTCCCGCATGCATGAATTTCATTTACCATGGTTTAGTTAAAACCAGTCCCCCAACTATATGGTTTAAATTTCAGTTACCATGATATACATGTAGTAACTGTAAATAATTAACTTGAGGCTGGACACAGTGGCTCATGCCTGTAATCCTAGTACTCTGTGAGGCTGAAGCGGGAGGATCACTTGAGGCCAGGCTTTTGACACCAGTTTGAGCAACAGAGCAAGATCTCCATTTCTGCAAAAAATGGAGATACTAGTTGGGTGCAGTAGTGTGCACCTATAGTCCCAGCTACGTAGAAGGCCAAGGCTCGAGAATTGCTTGAGCCAAGGAGTTTGGGATTACCATGAACTATGATGAGGCCACTGCACTCCATTCCACGCAACAGAGTGAGACTATCTCAAAAAAAAAGTGACAAAATAATTACGCAAAATACAAACTTTATCACTGGTTCTTTAGCCTAGGAATCTTTGTATAACAACATGATGTGCTTATGGTCAGTGACTAATTATGTCACTTTTCAGTGGCTGTCAGTGATTGGTCTCTCTCCATTTCACTCAGACAGTGTGTATAAACATGCTGTGTTGTGTTGTCTTCCTGTCTCCAGCAATAAGCACAGGTAAAAGCTTTATAAAATGGATAATTGAAAAAGGGAATTGGAGAAGAAAGATGAAAATGCAACGAAGAAACAGCAGTAATGTTAGAAGTGAAATTTAAATAAAAGTGAGTGGAGTGGGCAGCCCCTGTGGCTCAGAGGAGTAGGGCACTGGCCCCATATGCCGGAGGTGGCAGGTTCAAACCCAGCCCCGGCCAAAAACTGTAAAAAAAATAGTGAGTGGAGTGATAGACAAAATAGCTGACTTTGAGAATGCTGACCTGGTTGCTCTTCAACAGACTAGATAAGCAGCCAGAGGAACTTACTGAGTGTGAGTGTAGTGACATAAGTAAAGATAGTAGTTGTGGCAAAAATGGTGATGATGATGTCCCAGAGGAAGTGATGCTATTAATAAAAAAACCCAAACCCAACTCTTCATATTAAAGGAACTTTGATAGATATTTTATGATATTAAAAGCATAAATAATAAAACGTTAAAAGTTAGTTAAAACATAGAAAGAAGTACTTGATTTCACCAAGGCATGAAAGATACTTGCCCGTAAGTTATACATCAAAGTACTCTTCAAACTGTGCTAAAGTTTTTACAAAGAAATGAGACACTTCAGTTCTATGTGTTTCTAGTGTTTTAAATTACAATGTACTAAATCAATTTACTTTTTAGTTTCCAGTATACATTTATAACCAACAGTAAGAGTTTTTAATGTTTTGGCAAACTTTTGAAAGACTTCAGTACCATGATCATTTTCACCATTAATTATTAAGATCACTTTGCAGTTTCAGCTTGCTTGGTTGCTTTTCCGTTCCCATGCTACCAAGCAAAGCAAGGGTGTGTCCTGTACTTTCTCTGTCTTCAGTGTTGTTTTTGTCCAGGAAGCTAATCTAATAGAAATTGTTTCATGGTAATGACTAGACTAAACTGCATTGTGACTCCCAGCTCCCATAATTTAACAAAAATGTGGTCCAGTTTTAAGCTATATTATTCCCATGTCAAAGGGATATTTTGTATAATATCCCTTTGTATAATTCTTTTTATTAGAATTTTTATTGTGCAGCATTTAGGGCATTGTGCCCTCAGTAGTATATAAGGTACATATTTTATGACAGTTTTACTGTAAATTAAATTACATTTTCTCATATTCCTTTTCTTTCTTTTTTTTTGAGACAGTGTCTCACTATGTCTCTCTGGGTAGTGAGTGCTATGGCATCATAGCACTTAAGCTCTTCTCTTGCCTCAGCTTTCCAAGTAGCTGGGACTACAGTCACCCGCCACAACAGCTGGCTATTTTTGTTGTAGTTGTTGTAGTTGTCATTGTTGTTTGGCAGGCCTGGGCTGGATTTGAACCTGCCAGGTCCTGTGTATGTGGCTGGAACCCTGGCCACTGAGCTATAGGCACTGAGCCTCATTTTTTATTTCTTTGTTTAACATTTCTTAGAATTGACCTAGGTTAGGTTACGTGGAAACTCCTTAGTTTCATGTTTATACACATGGTACACATATTTATCAACTAGATTATAAGCTTTGCAAAGGCAGGCACTAGGCCTTTTACCTCATTTATATTTATGAGTATAGAAATTCTTACTAAATGATTAAAATAATTTATAGCTTCTTAAGGTATACTGCCTTTCTTCTTGTGGCTATTTGAATATGAAGTAATATTTTAGGAGATTTGTGATTAAGAAAATAGCTCAAATGGAAAAAATGGGGATCATGTAAAGAGAGAAAGGATTTGAGAATAATTTGATTTCATAAATTGATCAGTAGATATTCTTGAAATCTTATTGTTAATGGATGAGCCTGCTAAAAAGAACTCAGAGATTCAGCAGAAGCTTCTAAAAATGATTGAAATGTTAACTGTAGCCTTGGAGGGTTCAGGATGGAGGATGATGGTTAAGAGTTGTGAACAGAACAAAGGTCTGGTTTTAGTCGCAGCCATACTAGCTGTCCTTAGGTCAAGTCACTCAACCCCTTGAAACTTCAGTTTCTTGATCTATAAAGCAAGAGATTAAATGTCAGGTTGCCTTATACGTGCCTGTAGGCTTTAATGAAACAGTGATACAGTTTATATGAAAGAGTTTGGTAGGAAATAGAGCTGTTTAGATGAAAAAGAATTATTGAGAAGTCACTTTGAGACTGTAGGACAGGGTTGACAGATATGGTCAGCCAGCTCTTTTTGTGAGTAAAGATTTACTGGAACCCAGCCATACTCACTCTTTTATGTGTTGTCTGTGGCTGCTTTCATGCTACAATAGCAGAGTTAAATAGTTGTGACACAGACTGTGTGGCCCACAAGCCTAATATATTTATTGTCTGGCCCTTTAATAAAATGCTTGTCCACCCATAAAAGGTTGACCAAGCTTGATATTTGTCATTGACCTAAATCTTAACTCAAAAGTGTCACACATTCAGAACAGGTTATGACTTAATGTGTCAGACTTAGTTTAATAACTCCCTTCATTCCTATTTTTTATGCATAAAATTTCTTCCTTCTATTCCTGCCTTAGCGCGTAGTTTTTCTTGAGTATGTGACTATAGTAAAGTCATCTTCATTACATTATATTTCACTTTAAAGTGGAGTTTGATTAAATCTAACTTAATGGTGTTTGGTTAAAATACACTATTTCATTTTTATTTTTAGTTCTAAATTTTTTTGTAGTTATTATGCTTGTTTTTATTTGTGATGGCTGTGATTAAGTACACACTACTAAAAGTCCTATGGTAAGTATGTTATGTATTCTGGAGTCCTCAGTACTTTATTTTATGTTTGTTGAAAATTAAAATACTCACTTAGGAAATCTTCACCTGAGTAAATGTTGCTTATAGAAAATGTATTTTGGAGTGAAATATCAATGCTAATTAGATTAAGGTAAATTGGTGAAAGATGGGTATTGTCCATTCTGTTCCTTATGTCTGGAATGCTTTTTTCCCTGTTTTTCTGTCTATTTACCTCCCACTAACATTTTAATGCTTATTTTTATTGTTACCTTCTATATGAAGCCGGCCTGTTTATTCTTTGGTCAGCAGACATTTATTGAACACTTCTAACACTGACACTAGCTCGGAGCTAGCGATCATCCAGCACTGATGGAGCAGATGTGGCCCCTGTATTCACAGAGCTCACAGAGAGACAGGGCTGTTAATGTTGGGGTGCTGTCATGGCTCCTTGTCCGCTTATGTGCATTTTTGGCCCTTGATTTTGTCCCATTCTGGTATAATATATTGTTTGTGTGTTCTGCTGGCACATACATTTTCCTGGTTGGAGTATATCTTTTTGTATCTCCAATACCTACTATGGTCTTGGGCAGAGACTAGAAGAAAATAAATATTAACAGGATATATTTTGTTCCCTTCTAATACTACCAGCAAATATTAGCAGCTTTTCACATATAGCTTAAATATTGGTATAAAGTAGAGGAAATGCCTTGTTTGAATTTATTTATGGAAATGAATTTTATGTTTAGGAATTTTTTCATCTAAAAGAAGTTTCTGTCAATCTGTGAAGTCAAAAGTATTTCACTTTTTGTAGACTAATGTTAAATTGGTCTAAGTTGAGACACGGTAAATTTATTTCATTTAGAACCACACCTGTAGATCATAACAGCTCAATAACTATTTAAACAATTTTTGAATACTTTCAAATGCAAATTTAAATTTCCCAGATCTCTGTGAAAGAGAAATAAGAAAAGCTTATGAAACCAAGAAAACTCAAATTAAGACATACTGTGCCTTTCAGTGTCTTTTATGGGTTTTCATTTTAGATATAAA